GTTTTCATAACAGTCATACGGTTTCACACATCAGCTATATGTGTCAGGCACAGGCCAGGTAAAACTCCGGTCACTCATCAAAATGTTATTCACCTGTTCTGTTACCTAGGAGCTGTAATACTGTATAACACGACCTGTAAATGTGTACATAATCTTAATTATTGTGATGAAAAATAATATGTACAGTGTACATGTACATTATTGCATACGAGCCTTCTGTACTTATTTCTTTTCATAATATTGTTCAACAAATTGTACCTAATCGCACAGTTGTTCAGAGAGAAGCGCACAACTGGGCGAACGATTGTTAAATCGCACAGTTGTGCGCACCATGTGTGGACGTTGTACAAACGGTGTGTGAACGATGTATGCACAGTGTGCGCACGCTTTTTTTGGTGCGTTGTGCAGTATACAACTGTATTTAGTAAATTTTATCCATACAATTTAAAAAACACACGCTTTTTTGTAACATGTTGTAGATATTTTATGATAATAAAATATTTGTAGAGTTGATTAGCAATGCTTCTTTTCATTATTTTATTGTTGTTATAGTTTTGAACAATGCCACACGCTCAAAAAATGTGAAAGTGTTGAATTTGACAAAGATTAAATTATTCTGTATTTTTTACCAAAATATCCCAGTTTATTGGAATTCTTAGATTTTCATAAAATCATCTCTACATAGTGACATAACCATTATGTGAAACTTTCATTGCATTCTGTTGGCTAATTGCGACAGGGTGGAGCCTCCTTAAAGCAATATAGCCAAATAATCCTTTTTGGCCCCCACCCCTAAGCCCCCTGGCGGTTAAGCGCCACCAGTGTACAATTTTTAATCCCTGCCTCCCATGAATGCTTTTGATGAAATATGATTGATATCCAGTACATAGTTCTACAGAAGAAGTTGTTTGTAGCAATAAAGCCAAATTGCCTCCTTTTGGCCCCACCCCTCATGCAGCCCCCTGGGGGGTCAGCCCAACCATTTGGTAAATTTTGAATCCCCGCCACCTAGGGATACTTCCAGTCAAATATGGTTGATATCCATTACTTAGTTCCAGAGAAGAAGTCGCTGAAAGCAATATAGCCAAATTGCCCCCTTTTGGCCTCGCCCCTCAGCCCCCCTGGTGGTCAGCCCCACCATTTGTAAAATTTTGAATCCCCACCACCTAGGAATGTTGCCAGTCAAATATGGTCGATATCTATCACTTAATGGTTTCTGAGAAGAAGTCGCTTAAAGCAATATAGCCAAATTGCCCCCTTTTGGCCTCGCCCCTCAGCCCCTAGGGGATCAGCCCCACCATTTGTACAATTTTGAATCCCCACCACCTAGGGATGCTGCCAGTCAAATATGGTTGAAATCCATCACTCAGTTCTAGAGAAGAAGTCGCTTAAAGCAATATAGCCTAATTGGCCCCGCCCTTCAGCCCCCTGGGGGGTCAGTCCAACTATTTGTACAATTTTGAATCCCCACCACCTAGGGATGCTTCCAGTCAAATTTAGTTAAATTCCAATCAGTGGTTAGAACAACAAGTTGTTTAAAGCAATTGATGTCGTACAGATGACGGACAACGGACGGACAACGGACGCCACGGTATGGCATAAGCTCACCTTGGTCCTTCAGACCAGGTGAACTAAAAAGCAAAAAAAGCAACAACAAAAATAGCAATCAAATTGGTTTCATTACATGATCATAAAGACCAACAAGGCATCACAGCCGATACAAATACCCTTGCGAAATGCAAACTGATGTTTGTGAACAAATGTGTGGGAAAAAAAGTCGAAAGTTGAACTTGAACAAGAGGTGTGGTGTGAACTTTTGCGATGATCAGAAACAAAAGGATGTCTGCCGAGCAATTTCTATTTGAAAACAAATGAAGAAAAAATTTGTGTCAAATTCTATTTATAGTATCAGTAACAAAATATTTGACCACAGAAGGTTGAAACATGACCTCATACTAGCCGTGATGTTTGTGAACATGTCAATAAAATTTCCTGAAAATCAGATAAGATATGAAGTCTGTAGAGCAGTGACGCCTTAATACAAATGGGACACAAATGTATGTTGGAATGAACGTACAAACGTACATATGGGCAGATCGGGCAGATATACCCAACGACTCATCGCAAGGGTATAATTAATTGTAAATAAACATATACCGATGGCATGGAGACTGCATCTAAAAAAAGGTCATAGTTTGTATGTACATCATAAAAATTAATCACGTGTTCCATTGAAATCAGCACATTCAACAATAAAATGTTGCACTGTAAAAGATTTACCACATGAATGTCAATAAAATTGATCTCTGTTTCGTAAAATGTAAGTTTGTGACCTATGTGAAGTTGTGAGAGGACAACTTCATCTTTGGGGTCTAGCTCAGCTCTTCTGGTTGCCCAAATAGTGAAGCGGACGTAAAACCTGTAAATCAATCATTGGTGATCTCGAAATACAATAAGAATTATAACCCTTGACCAACACTATGATGATGATATATGATCTTGGACGTTTATCTGTGAAATAAATAAGTTGATCAAAATTTTTAACAGTTAATGCAAATTTTACAATATTCATGCGACTACTTCAATAAAAGTTTCGATGATTCAGCAGCCCAGAAAAAACTAGTAAAACCAGCCAATGTAGATGAACGTCTCACTGGTATACAGACTGGGCAATGATGGTGATGACAGAGCAATGACTAGAATGGCCGTCGTGCAATAGTAATGACAAAATCGCTTCCCAATTACCAGTCAATCCGACTCATCAGGAAGGGATATCTTCTCACCACTCTATATGCATCAGTGGGTCTTTTCTAAACTCCCTAACAGGGGTGGTACGTTAGAGTCCACCGATTGTGGTACGTAGAATCGAGCAAATATTCTTCCCTGACAGCTAACCCTTTCACGGCTCATGATGTACATGATCTGCATGATGAAGATAAGCGGAACACATGACAACTGCCAGAAACAGGGGGTGCCTATGTTAACACACAGATATACAACCTCTATCAGCGTAATTGGCTAATCAGACAAAAGCATACACAAGGCATGTGATTAGGGAATTTACCAATCTCGGTGAACCTAGCAGCATGTCTTAGAAAATAGGGAACGCCTAGTGAGATTGTCCGATTCCCTGTTTCTTCCCATCACAATCATCATGTTTCATTTTAATGGCCAACTAAAAGGCCCTCACTGAGGTAGCAGATAAGTCAAACCTATGACCTTGACCCCATTGTCGGTCAATTGTTGCAAAACAGGTTTGTCATGTTCACGTTTATCTCTGGTAAACTTATGTATGTTGATACATTTTTATTGAATTGTTCGTCCTAAAAGCTTTTACTTCAGGTCCTTAAGACAATTTCAACAATGACTTTGCCCTAACATCATAAAAGTGAAATGTTCATAGCATTGTGTTACTATGGTAACATCCCGTCGATGACTGTTACCCAAATTGACACAAATAACTGAAATTGGCATGCAGATGTAAACTATAATTTAATAACTGATTCCGAAATTGTAGACCGAAGTGGATTAATGGATGGCCCTTGTCAGTACCTTCATAATGCTATAAGTCAGACAGCAATAAGTCATATGTGTCTAAATGAAGGAGTGTACCGTCAATGTGTGGACCAAGGTTCTTGACAATCAAGTAATCTAATAGAGGATGGTCAACACAGAGAGCGCAGGAAAATAATTTAATTTAAAGACAACCTCACAATAACATTGTGCGTTATGTTGTGCGTTATGTACACCAAATATGATAAAAGGGGACATAACTCAATCTACGGACAACCCTAAAATAACCGTGTGTATAACTATACCATCACATACGATACAAGGGGACATAACCCATTAAAAGACAACCCCACAATAACAGTGTGTGTTACTATACCATCACATCTGATACAAGGGGATATAACCCAATCTAAAGACCCCCCCCGNAAGAGTATTACATATACCTGATACTCAGGGACATAGACCAATCTACAGAAATCATCACAATAATTTGGACAGTGCACACCACCATATTTGAAATAGCGGACGTAACCCAATCTACAGGTAACTTTACCAATCCACAGTTCAGAGGAGTCTAACTCCACCTACAAGCTAACTCAAAATAGTGATACTCTACTTATATGACACAGTGTCAAATAGAAAACTTCACTTGACACAATAGTGCATACCAGAACTTAATTTCTTTAAGAATGACCGAAATCTTTGTGAGCAGTTTTTCTTCAATTAAAGGGGAAAATAAGCGTCATTTCAAGCAAAGAACTGACGCTAGGTGGCGTATGTGCCACCTAGCAAGTAGTAAGTTAGAGTTGTTCCCCTTGACTACGCTTATATACCTGCATTTGATATTTTACCTTCACTAATCTACTTATATATTTTTAATTATGAGATAGTTAAAACAAAACTCACCAATTTCTCCACAAGAGATCATCCATCACTTGTCATGTAACTGCCTGGTTATTTGAACCTGGGCTGTGGAGTTGTCTCCCCTGATTTCCTCCTCTGATGCAGCCGTCTGCCTGCAGGATTCTTGTATGTAGCTTTCCATCTGCCGCTAATCAGACTCTTTCCCACTCCATCCTTTGTTGTTTGTCCATAGGCCCTTCCTTTCTCCATTCTTGGATGCATGGTCCAACAGCATACATGATCTGTCTCCAAAACACTTAAACATTTCTAGCATAGCAATTCCTAAGCCTAATAAATGATGGGCATTTCTTCTAACTATCAATTCTAAAGCATCTTCATTGAAACTGGTCAAAGCTCAAACTGTCAATTTTCCCAGCATCTTCAAAAATGTGAACAAAAAATTAAATTCCAACATGCAAGAACAAATATTGAGAATTTTTCAATTTTATCATTCACTATCATGTTACATGTCAAATCATTTAGATTGTCAAGAGAACATCACTTTGTGATTTTGATACATATTGTTTATAAAGTTTTATCTTTTTTCCAGTTTCAAAGAAGTTTGCATACAAGTTTCGTCCTACCTCAAGCAAATGAGCAGTGACCGGTCGCCACAGGACCTCAACTCGAGCCAGATTGACCAGGCCAGTCTCCAGTAACTTAGCAACAGCAAACAAGGATGGCTCCTGCAGGGAAAATATGCCCAATCAGATAATTACAGACATCAAGTACAATTAATATCAAGAAAAAAAAAATAATACCAATAGCTAATTTAATATAAAGAATTACATCAAATGTATCTCTTTCTAAACTTCAAGTAATTAAATGAATATGAAGTAATAATTTCATACATTTTTTTTCCACTCTCGACAGGTTAAATATTTGCTTTATGACAACATCCTCCAAAAGCACCCCCCTGTACTTCACCTTCCACTTTGTAATCCATCCTCTATCCCCTGATAATAGTAACCTCTAAACCACTATTACCATCTCCTCTACTACCTCTACACCATCTCCTCTACTACCTCTACACCATGTCTAAATATTCCTCTACAATCTCCTCTACTACCTCTACACCATGTATAAATATTCCTCTACCATCTCTTCTACTACCTCTACACCATGTCTAAATATTCCTCTACCATCTCCTCTACTACCTCTACACCATATCTAAATATTCCTCTACCATCTCCTCTACTACCTTTATACCATGTCTAAATATTCCTTTACCATCCACCCAGTTATCTCTACCCCTAGTCTAAATTTTTTTCTACCACCCACCTTGTTACCTCTACCCCAAGTCTAGATATTCCTCTACCTTCTCCTCTGTTACCTCTACCTCAAGTCTAAATATTCCTCAACCATCTCCTGTTACCTCTACCCCAAGTCTAAATATTCCTCTACCTTCTCCTCTGTTACCTCTACCCTAAGTCTAAATATTCCTCTACCATCTCCCGACCTCTACCCCAAGTCTAAACATTCCTCTACCATCTCCTGTTACCTCTACACCAAGTCTAAATATTCCTCTAACATCTCCCCTGTTACCTTTACCCCAAGTCTAAATATTCCTCTACCATCTCCTCTGTTACCTCTACCCCAAGTCTAAATATTCCTCTACCACCTCCCCTGTTACCTCTACCCCAAGTCTAAATATTCCTCTACCACCTCCCCTGTTACCTCTACCCCAAGTCTAAATATTCCTCTACCACCTCCCCTGTTACCTCTACCCCAAGTCTAAATATTCCTCTACCACCTCCCCTGTTACCTCTACCCCAAGTCTAAATATTCCTCTATCATCTCATCTGTTACATCTTATATTCCTCTAACATCTCCTCTGTTACCTCTATCCCAAGTCTAAATATTCCTCTATCATATCCTCTACTAACTCTACCACAAGTTTAAATATTCCTCTATCATCTCATCTGTTACATCCCATATTCCTCTAACATCTCCTGTTACCTCTACCCCAAGTCTAAATATTCCTCTATCATCTCATCTGTTACATCTTATATTCCTTTAACATCTCCTGTTACCTCTACCCTAAGTCTAAATATTCCTCTATCATCTCATCTGTTACATCTTATATTCCTCTA